TGATGTGGGACTTGATCCTGGGACTCCAGGATCACGCCCTGGGCCAAAGGCAGGTGCTCAACCGCTGAGCCACCCAGGCGTCCCTCATGCTACTTTTCAACTGGATGCTGACATTGTAAATTACCATTTGGGTGCAGGATTTTAACACTTTATAGTGTATGAGGCACGTTTCTAGTACAAAATCAAGTTACCTGGACTCACTTTAAAAAGTTTCAGACTTGCTTTTAAGTTTTACTGGGGCAGATACTTAGAAGCCTGGTCTTGGACTAGTTTATAGTCATCATTAATACAATATCTTTTTGAGATCTTGTGTATTACCTGATGCCCTAAGTATTAGAAGGTCTTTCTACTCTGACCAGTGGAAATACAAACTGTTCCTAGCCCTAAGTACACTCCCCAAGTTTTGGCCTATTTTTTGGGGGGGTATTTTTTTTTTCTTCAGCCTCAAGTGAATTTTTTTCACCATGAGAAAGTCCATACTCAACCTAAGACTAAAGGGAAACATTCTAAAGATCTCTAACAGTTTCACTCTGTAAAGCTCCTTTCCTTCCAGAAGTTCTACCCCCAAAATTCTTACAATTTGGCCTACTCAAACTGATTTTTGTCTCCTCAATTCAGTAAGATTGCCAGGTTCTGTCTGCGTATGCACTACTTCCTGCAATTTGCCATTTGGCAGTAAGTTGGCATGCTTTCAGTTTACCTCACTTTTTTCCTTTCTCTCAGGGACCACTGGAATGCTTGTTGTTCAAAGTCTGAAAACCATTGTTTCAAGTATTTTGCCTGATTGTTTCTACTTGTTTAACATGTAAGGGTAAATTTCCTATCTGTTACTCCATCATGGCAAGATGAATGCTATACTTTTAACGCTAAAAATGAAAATCTATCTCTACTGAAGCAAAGTAAATCTTGCTTCATTCACAATCATGCAAATGAAGCTCAGCTTCCAAATAACTAGTAGTCTTAACTTGTTTAGGAATGGCATCAGCAAGATGCCTGAATAAGACCTCCCTCACATGTATTCTACCCTCAACAATAAAAATCTGGCATTTATTCATGGATAAAAGTGCCTTTGTGGGGACTTTGAGGCCCAGGTAGGAGATTCTGAAACCATAGCTGGTCAAAGACTGAGGAGAGACATTTTGAGAAGACAGGCTCACAAGCCTGTGGCCGACTTGCCAACTGGAATCCCAGCTACAGACACAGAAACAGGCTCTATATATCTGAGAACTCAGCTAGAGCCCTATTTGGTGTTAAGTCTGTCACCAGCACCATAGGCTAAGGGACCCAGGAGGAGTCACACCCACCTGTGTGTTGGGTAATAGACATACAGGCCTCAGTGACACCTACAGACCCTGACATGGCCTGTGAACAGGCTCCAGCCCCTCTCAACTGTGGTCCAGGAGACCCTAGAGGTAAAACCCACCAAATATGGTCAGATTGCAGATTGTGAAAGGGCCCTATAACTGGAGTCCAGTCTATCCCATCCAGTCTATGGCCAGTTTTGCTGCCACAGGGACCCTGCAGGATACACTCCCATCTGTGTCCCTGGAGGTCCTGGAAGCGCCCTATATACTAGGCATCATCTCTATCCCACCTGCATCACAGGAAGCTGGCAAGGAACCAGGCAGGATAAATTGCAATCTGGGCCCCCAGAGATTGTAAAAGGGCCCTAGATGCAGAAATCTTTTTAACAGTGTTGAAGAAACTAGATATTCACATGTAAAAGAATGAAATTGAACCCTTAATTTATACCACTGATAAAACTAACTTGAAGTGGATTAAACTTAAATGTAAGACCTGAAACCATTAAACTAAAGGAAAACATAGAGAAAACTCTTTGACATTGATCCTGGCAATGAATTTTTGGATATGATGCCAAAAGCACAAGCAGCAAAAGCAAAAATAAGCAAGTGGGAGTACATGAAACCTAAAAGCTTCTATACAGCAAAAGAAACAACAGAAAGAAGAAAAAACCTATGGAATTGGAAAAAATATTAGAAAGTCATATTTCATATAAAGGGTTAACATTCAAAATGTTTAAGGAACTCATATGGCTCAAGAGCAAGATAATAATAAAATACAATAATCCAAATAAAAAATGGGTAAGCAGCTTGAATAGAAACATTTCCAAAAAACATACAGATGGGCAACAGGCACATGAAAAGATGTTCAACATCACTAATTATCAGGGAAATGCATATGAAAACCACAATGAGATATCACCTCATACCTGTTAGAATGGTATTATCCAAAAGACAAGAAACAACAAGTATTGGTGAGGATGTTGACCCTAGTGCACTATTAATGGGAATACAAATTAGTACAGCCATAATGGAATTTCCTCAATAAAGTTCAAATAGAGCTACCATATGATCCATCAATCCCATTTCTGGGTATATATTAGAAGGAAACGAAATCACTATGTCAAGGAGATATCTGGACCCCCATGTTCATTCATTGCAGCATTATTTACAGTAGCCAAGATGTGGAAACAAGTGTTTATCAATGGATAAGATTTTCTAAAAGGTGAGATTAATACACGCATACACATATTTGAATATTTTCAGCCAGAAAAAAGGAGGAAATCCTGTCTTTTGTGACAACATGGACAGACTTTGAGGACATTAAGCTAAATGAAATATGTCATATAGAGAAAGACATATGCTATATGATTTCACTTATATGTGGAAACTAAAAAAAGTCATAGAAACAGATCATAGAATGCTGGTTGTCAGGGGTAGGGGTGGGGGAGATGTAGGAATGTTGGTCAAAATCTTCAAACTTTCATTTAAAATGTAAGTTCCAGGGATCTAATATTCAGTAAGGTGACCATAGTTAACAATACTGTATTATATTGTTGTTATATAATTGAAAGTTGTTAGGAGGGTAAATCTTGAATACTCTCACCACAAAAAAAGGTAATTATGTGATATGATTAATATGAATGAATCTTATTGTAATTATTTCACAGTATATATATGTATCACATCATCATCTTGTATACCTTAAACTTACACAATGTTTCATGTTGATTACATCTCAATAAAGCTGAAAAAAAAAGGGTACTGGTTTCAAAGCATAAACAGCAAATTTTCCTTCAAATTCCATTTTAGAACAGTTGTATAGTATCAAAGCAGAGTAATACCCAAGTCAAAACATTTATTCTTAATTTTGATACCTAATAGGAACTATTTTAACATATTATCAGACTCAATTTTTAAATATCATGGCTCTAGAGCATGAATAGACAAATACACCAATGAAACAAAATAGACAGTTCAAAAACAGACATATATGTATGCTAAACATAGCATTTCACATCTTTGGAGAAAATATATTTATGTCATTTTTTTTTTCCTCAGAATCCCCCAGTAAGCTCAGGACAACTGAATTCAAAATTATTCTGATTAAATCTGGCCCAATGAACTGGCCATTTTCTTATAATCTTCAAAGTGGACACAGGCTGATTTAAGAAGAAATCTTAGTTGGTATTATACTTTGAACCCCAAATATTGTGTTTATCTATGTACGTGTATTATACATGTTATCTGAAAGGAAGATCCTGAATTATGGGTTCCTTCTCTCAGTGCTGTGAGGCATATGAATACAAACCCAATATTTAGAAATAAAGTTTTTTGAAGAAAAGGAAAACAACTACAAACAGCAAATGTTGGTAGTGGTAATGTGGTGATAACAACCCATTATTCAAGAACACACAGGTTTCCATCATTAAAATATTCTAAAAAAACCACCAACTTATTTATAACCTTTGTTTGTGGAGAAGCCTGAGGCATGAGAGGAATAACTAATTTATATTTGTGCAATCTCATGTTCTTCTGTAATTACTCGTTGGCACGTTTGCCAGTGGTTCTTTGAATTTTTAACAGGTCTGGATTTGTATGTATATGTCGAGGGAAGTTGCTGGTGTTGTTGACTGTGAATTTCATTTCCTTAGTGTTTGACCCAAAATAGCACCCAGGTATTTCACTCTCTTTAGGAGCTTGCTCTTTATAAGAACTGGCTGAGATTCATCTGCAAGTATAGGTATGAGACAGTGAAAGAGGTTGTGATTCTAGAAGGTGGTAACATTTAGAAAAGAATTTTACTCTGTTTTCCCCTTCTATACCCTGTCTAGATGGACATTACTGAAAATCAATCACAGTTAGGTTACCTACCAAGTAACCTTTAATATTTGGTTACCTAAATTTTCAGTTTTATGAATTTTTGACATTTTTTCTTATTCCCAAATGCTTTATTTTTTCTTTCTTTTAATTCCTTCCCTCTGTTCTCCGTTCTGTATTTTTCCCCTTAAGAATGATATAAATGGCTCAATTGCTTTTAATTACTACACGCTGTGACCTTTCATGTCTCCTTATTTTGGTTCCATGCTATTCTTTTTGGGTAGGGTATTCTCACCATCTTTCTTTCCTGAGTTGCTTGTATGTATTCTTCAATGCTCAGCTAAGACGCTAACAAATGGAGTAAATTGTGTTAAGTTATATGCCCAACTTATATATAAATATCTCCTAATGAATGAATGAAAGCATAAGTGAAGCAAATCTTCCCTAAATTTTCTTCTTCCTTGTCTTCATCCCCACAGCTCCAGAAGAAGAGCTATATATCAGTCTACTAATAAATTGTATTGGATAATAAATAGTATGGGCTCTATGGTCACACTGTCCCTCTGGGTTCAAATCCTGGTTCCACCTACTAAATAGCTGTGCAGTCATTTTTTTCTTGGGGCTCAATACCTTCATCCCTGCAATTGTGATCAGAGCAATATCTCTTGCATAGGGTATTTGAGGATTCAATGAGATAATACACAAAGTGCCTAAAATATCACCTAAGCATTCTACCAAAAGAGCTATTATTATGAACGGAAGCTTATTTTTTATATCACATGCACTGCTTTGTCAACTCTGCAATTTGTCTACTCGTCTCTTCTAAAATTACAAACTTTTCATGTTATCAGAAGAAAGAATGCTGGATGTGACAGAATGTGAAAATTATGCTTTTTATTGGATCACATAAAATAGTTACACCAAGTTGTCCAAATGCACTGGTGAATTAAAGCCTCCCGCTCTTACAAATTTTTATACATATATCTATGCATTTATAAATACACACATATGTAAAAGATATATATTTTCTTCTAAAATAAAGTGCCCAAATCTTGATATGTGGGGGCATAATAGGGAAAAAAATCATAAAGAAACCAGTTATAGACTGTACTTTCACAATATAAGGATCAATATAAGGATTATACACACAATATAAATGTGTGTATAATTTACACACATTTATCCAGGTATAGTGAACTTTAATTACTCATTCTTTTCTGAATTCTGAGTGAATTAATTTATCCAAAATATTAGAAGTCATATAGCCAATTTAATGAATCAGAAGCTAATTTTTCTTACTGTGCCTAGCATTAAATCGTTGGCTCCCCAATGGAAGGGTAGTTTAGCTTCATTCTTAATTTTCCTGTGTTTTGGACCGTTGTCTTTCTGCTAAGATGATAAGTGGAGAGATAAATGAATCAGACACCTCTAATTCTAAATCCTCTTTTAGCATTCAATAAAAATCAGGGTTTGGTGAAAAAAGCCTTTAATGTCTTTACATTGCCCTGGGCTTGGTGAGAAATAGCCCAGCAGGATCTGAATTGAAGGATCCTGCTGCCTCTCTTATGATGAAATCTTACTGAAGCGACAGAAGAATCAGAGTACAGTGATCAAGAGCTCATTGAGAGAACCCACTCAAAATGAAATGGAACTCTACTACAGTGGAAAACTTTGTGACAACAGGTTTGAATTTAAGAGCAGAATAAGGGCTAAAAGAAAAACTAGATAATTTAAGACAAGTAAGAAAATTCTCATTTCAAATAGAAACTAGGGTTCTACTCCCTGCTCCAGTTTCTCAGCTTTCTTCCTGGGCTTTTATTGTATTTTCTATTATCTTACACTTTTAAGATGATCATTTGCAGTCTTTGACAAGGAATGGAATTTCAAAATGCCTTTGAAAAGCCTTCAACCTATTGAAGCAAGGTGAGGATGCCTAAAAATAGCTTAATATGAACCCAGCCATTTCATAATCTCTGGTGATTACAGGTTCAAACAGCAATAGAGTGGATCTTATTCAAGCAGGAAAGGGAGAAATTGTCAGCACTAAAATCGCATAAAACACCCTATAACTTCTCAACATATGGAAGACCTGGGAACAATGGGAAGTCCAGACATTTCTCAATGTCAGAACAAGGAATGGAGTATTTTCTTTTATTTTGAGACGAAGAAGGGGGGAAAATGGGCAAGAAAGTGTTTCTAATTACCTGACCCACTTCAGTAGGGTCTTTTCAAGAACAGAGCCACCTAACTACTGATTTTGGTGAGCATCTTGTTAATGGCTTGCTTGACATGTGTGGTGGAGCTTCGTCGCCTTGTCTTGCCCTGGACCATCCTCCTGCGACGCACCTCTCGACACAGCTCATAGAATATCTCCGTGATGTTTCCTTCTCCAGTGCAAGCAGAACACTCATAAAAAGCACATGCCAATTCGGTGGCCAGCTTCTCCCCTTCTTCTGTACTAACCTGTCTGGAGTGGTCCAAATCAGCTTTGTTTCCAACCAAGATAAGAGTCACATTCTTAGGCTTTTTGATCTCATCCAGGATGTTCTTAAGTGGGAGAACTTCCTCAAAACTTCCTCGGTCAGTAATGTCATAGACCAGCACAAAGCCTTCCCCCCATCGCATGTGTCCTTCCCTCTGAATGGTATCTTCCTGTTGACAAGGAAACAATGGCAGTTGGGGAATTGGAAGTCATTTCAGTGTATAGATGTTGCTCATGCTAACAATTAGTCCTTAAGTACTATTCTTTATGTTTGGTGTCATTAAAATGTCTTGATAGAATGCCCATACAAGCTTACCTTCTCAATCAGTTTGGAATAGAAGCATTACTTACTCACAGACAGATATGTCAAGGAACTAAAAACATTCTAACTGCATAGACCTTTTACTTTCTGCTTCTAATTTTCTATTGGACATATTATTAAATCCATAATTACAAGAACTATAAAGAAATTATCTTAGTTGAGTGCACTGCCTCCAAGGCTTTTCATCACAATTAAAGAATCGGCAAATAGGTAACAAACAAGTAGCTCTTTTGCCACCCTTTAGAGATCAGATTTAGAGGCACAGCTTAGTAAGTGGTTTTGATTTCGTTTTTTGCTTTAATCTCTCTTGCCTTCAGATCTTAAACAATTGGGCACCAGAGACAGAAAAACAGTGAAAAATTGTATAGTGAGTCAAACTCAAAGCCAAGGGCTTTTGGCTTTTTTTTTCTATCTAAACACCCCCAAAATATTACACCATCCCAATAATGATAGAAACTCATTTGAAGTGATTTTCAAAGGGGGTGATCACTCTTTCCTAGGAAAGCAGCATGCAAGATTTGAAAATGCATTGCTCACATGGGCTTATATAACTCTGGAGGTATGTAAGTCCCTACCATGTCTCTCTAGAATCAGGGATGGGTGGCAGGGAAAGCATATATAATGAGGTGATGATGAGAAATAAAAGTGTCTAGCTGGTTTCAAGAACATTTCTTGGATTAAATACATTAGTTCAAGTCTTCTTCAGGTCATAGGTCACTGATAGAGCACCATGGAACCTTTCAGCTTCCTAACTTTCACTCCTATTGGTCATTTTATTCTTGGGAACTAAGCCTAGCTATGAACCTAGCTGTAATCTCAGAACTTACTGCCATTAGGACAAATTTATGTTAGCTTCCTTTGTTATGGATTGCTTATTATACAATTATGTAGCTCAAATCTTCAATAGGATGTTGTGAAGCCTGGAAAGAATATTACAGGAGAGATTCCTAAAATATTCTGAAAAAAGATTTGGAGGTTATATAAGTTTAGAATATAATATATACTGAAACTCTTAAGGATTCATCTTATACCTTGGCATAGAAGACTCTGAGAACTTCCCTATAACAATACTTGTTTAACTCTATCAGAGCATTTCAAAATACTTAACCATGAACCTCTTAATATCTTGCCAAAATATATGTGGCTAATTCTGTTCTAGATGATGTCATCTGGATGTTATAGTATTTTCAATCCTCCTCCCATCCTGCTAAAGTACTGGGTAATTTATATAGGTATGCATACATAAGCTGTTCCATATATGTTAGTATATAAATAACTAGATAATCAAAGAGAAAAGTCTTTAGGCATCATTAGTTAGTGGGAGGAAGGTGTCTTAATTTTATTCATAGTATGCATGTATACATCTCATTTTTATTTGATCCAGGAAAATTTTATCTGAACCCTTTATTCACCTGACCAGCAGTATCTAGTATCTCCATGGTGACAACTTCATCATCGATGGTTGCTTGGTGTCGATAGGTGGATTCTGAGAGAATGAGCAAAAAAATATTAAAAAGCAAATTAGTCCATGATTTAATTTGATGCTTAAAATACAAAGTTGTTACAGAAGTACATCTGTTTATACAGCATAAGGGAATGTGCATCCCAGGGAGGAGAGGATGGAGGTGCAAGAATGTGCCATTTCTATACTCTTTGAAATCCTAGAAGTACAGGTTCTCATGTGCGAGTCACAGATTTTCAGGGTATATAGCATGAGGGTATATCACCTGAGAGAATCTTTGTCTCTTTGCTCATTTTATTCTCCTATGAGGCCAGCTTCCTGATGTTCTCTTCCTTCTAAAATAAGGCCTCTACATCCTAGACTGAGAAAATGATTCCCACAAAATGCCTTCTACCTTGATATTCCTAAAATCCTGTTTCAGGGAATCACTGTTAGTTATTGTACCTGACAAGATGACATATAAGCAGGAGTTGTTCATTTCCTTCAAGACCCCAGTCCTGGAAATGCAGTGGACATTAGATAAGGTGGATAAGCCATTCATGTAAAAGATGACCATGTAAAGCTATGAGAAACCCTTGTGGCAGTAAAAGGTAGTTAGGCCCCATGTTTGGTGGTTGTAAGGAAAGCAGAGGAGGGCTGGGTTGCACAGAGAGAGATGCAACAAAGCAGAGTTCACCTGCTCATGTTACCTCTTCAAGGTAGAAAAATGACAATAGCTCAGTGCCAGCTGAAGGCTGGTAGGGTAATATCAGAGAGGTCCCCAAACTCTACTGGGGTGAGGAGAAGTGGGCAGATACAAGAACTTTGGGTGGTTTAAGTGTGCCTTTCACCACATGACATGGCCAGAGGTTAAAATAAATACCAACTGGTACTGCTCTGTATAAAAACTAAAACAGTTGAAATAATGAACTCAACAAATGATTGACTGAGCCAATGAAGGTCAGGTTGAAGAACTCTTCCAGAAGGCATCAGTACATGATAAGAAGAAGGAAACTGTAAAAGTAAAATATGAGAGTTGGATAATTGAAATAGACATGTTATTATCTCTTATAAAATGAGCCTCAAAGAGAATAAAATACACCGGGGGGGCAGGGGCAGTGAAAATACTTGAGGCTGTAATAACTGAGAATTTCCCAGGAGGGAAGGCCTTGAAACAGTTCAGATCCAAAGGGCTAAAAGGACAACCAAGGAAAACATCATATATAAATAAACCATATATATATATATATATATATATATATATATATATATATATATATGAAACAGATATAATATATGAAACATATATAAAACATCACAGCAAAATTTAGGGATATCAGTGATAAAGACAAATTTTAAAGGGTCAACAGAAAAAAAGCACATCACCTATAGAAGGACATGACTCAGATTGACATTAGATTTCTCACCAGTAAAACTGAACTTGAGATCCCAATGGAGTAAAATAGACTAATCAAACCACACCAAAAGCAATCAAGAATTATAATTCTTGATGATACCAATATACTGGGGTGGGAGGAGTGGGGAGACACAAGAGGCAGTTCTTTTTTAACCACAGTTTTTGTTACTTTGCTACAAATATAATCTCCTACCTAAAAGACAAACTGCAGAAAGGAAGCTTAACTAAGTAGCATAACCCAGCCTTCTGCCTGCCATCAGCCCTGTGTCATGAACATTGCCATAGGCATGGCACATGGCTGAAATCTTTTCTGAACAGTACAATTTAAAAATGAATTATGTTCAATAAATTTTAAAAGAGCATATTTTGCAGTATTGTTATTCTGTTAGAATAGGTAATCTGTATGTGGTATGTACAATAATTCTCAATTCTAGAACATTCCATCCTCCTACTCTTTATGTTAAATGAGAGATTATTATTTTGTGTAATTTAATGCTCTAAAATACCATGTGTAGCAACTTCTCATCTATATATGTTCTCTTAACTATTTCCTTTTGCGTCTTCAGTGCTCCAGTTTGACAAGGAGAGGCCCAGACAGCAGCATGCATGTTAGGATCTATACCATTTCTGTTTCTTCCACTACTGTTCTGTGGTGGCCTTTGTGCTACCTTCCTTTTTAAAAGGGCTGGCATCAGCCTTAGGGCCTGAAAAACAGAGTTCTGGGCTCTCTTCCATTTCTTTACACCAAAAGTTGTCTGACAGGGACATTTTTCTCTGTTGCTTCTATGATAAATAGGATATGTATTTCAACCACAGAAGGCCACAGTAGGGGGGAAATAAAATATAATGAAAATTGTATGAAGTTGTGTGATTCTTTGGCTGTTTGTTAACTGAAACGAAAATGATGGAATGCAGGAAATGAGGGAATGTCTGCCACAGACATAGCAGCGGGGAGTAGCAGTGATTTCATCTAAGCTGAGTATTGGTTTCATGCCATTTTGAGCCTTTTCTCTTTAAGCCTTTTCTCTCTCATTAGAAACCCATATCTTCATGTAAACAGTGAAGTATAGCCCACGCAGGCAAAATGTTGTGCCTCTAAGCGCTAACTTTAATGAAGCTAATTCTAAAAAAAATATTAAGTACTTTTTGGAATTAAACTTCACTATTCATTCTAAAACAAGAGAAAATGTGTATATGTTGGGAGAGTGGACGCACCTTTTATTTTGTTTATTTAGCATAAACAAAAAATAGAAATTCCGAGTCTTTTTTCTTTTTAAAAGGAAGGGGGGGGGGTGATTGTTTAAGGCATATATCTAAATGAACCAAACTATCATACACTAAAGACCAATATTAGTTTCAAGATGCAATTTGGTATATTAAAAATATCTGAATTGCATTGTATATGAACAATACATGATCTAAAACCTGCATTCAGTAACATTTCTATCAATAGAAGTGTATTTTGTATATTCCAAGAGAACTTGATGCTCAAAGAGATGTTGTAGATGCTTAATCCTTTACTGATTTGGCTTTTTTTGTATATTTTGACATATTAATATGGACATTTAGCCAGTACAGTAACAACAGCAGTTAGTAATGTTGATTTATGCTACAGTGGAAATTGTACTGACTTGAGTTCTGTTACTGGTCTAACCACACACAAGCCACATAATCTGGGATGAATTTATTTCACTCGACTTGTTTCCTTATTTGCCTAATGACGACCTCAATGTTTCCTGCTGTGCCAATACTGAATAGTTTCATGAGTTGGCTAAGTACCTCTGTTTTAGTATCCAATTCAGATAATTTGTTCTGGGTGTGCCTGTCTCTTGTGTAAACTTTTCTTTCCAAACAGTGGGTACTGTGATGCAGGAAGGAAGAACCAGTCACAAAATCCAAGTGTCATTGGGTCTGTCTCCCAATTCCTACCCTCGTTCCTATCTGAGCCTTTACTAACGAGATAGAGATGCCATAATCCATTTGAACACAGAGTAAAAGGTGCCTCCAAGATGGTAATAGTAGTGGTAAGTGCTGACATGCAGTCTCTCTCTTCTCCAGACACCCAACACACACACACACACACACACACACACACACACACACACACAAAACCATACACATCTAAGCCTTTGTCCATATGCTCTGCCACAATCAGCACTCTTCTGAGGGACTCTCAGAAGCAGGGATTCAGTTCCTGTTGGGGATCTAATCAGAACACAGACCCTGTTGCAAATAGAACAGTACACTCACCACCATAAAGCACTTTTGCTGGTCAGATGGTGCAAGTCCCAAACCTCAAAGGCTTCAGTGCTGGTTTTCAAATGCTAGTCATAGACCAGCTCTGATCCCTGACAAACATTTCACTGTGAAATGAGAAAAATTTAAGGAAAACTAAAATTGCCTAAAGAACTGAACTTTTTTTCTTAGTTTATAGCCTTAAAACACTTGGATGTTAAGTATACTTGCTATTTCTATGAAATGCAAGTGCAAATAGAATATTTAATTTAGGGACCCCCTGGGTGGCTCAGCAGTTGAGCACCTGCCTTGGACCCAGGGCATGATCCTGGGGTCCCGGGATCGAGTCCCACATCAGGCTCCCTGCATGGAGCCTGCTTCTCCCTCTGTGTCTCTGCCTGTCTCTCTCTCTCTGTATCTCTCATGAATAAATAAATAAAATCTTTTAAAAAAGCATATTTAGTTTAAAATTAGTTTTAAATAATTTTAGTTCTCTCTTACCTCTGTGCCTTGTTTGTATCTCTAATGGCAGTTCCTATGATAATACCTCTCTTTAGAAGACCAAAAAGCAAAACCTACTGAAATGAAAAGTCTGGGAATCATTTGCTATTATAGTTGCAAACATTTTCTTCTTAGATGTACTTCAGAGCAGTAAATATTCAACTACCATAATATGTCGAATGGTGTTCATAGTCTTTGGCTTCTCATGGAGCAGTAATTCTATTATAGGTTGAAAACACTGCACTATTAAAAAATGTTGCTACCTATTTTTGTTGAAGTATAATTAACATAGAGTGTTATAGTATGCTCCAGGTTTTTGAGGAAGGCTCTGGATTCAGAATTCAAGGCTATTTTTGTAAATATGCCACTTAGCTTTTTAATGGTAGCTTTCCTTTCTCGTGGTGGTTTTGAAACGCTATGATAGTGTAAAGTCAAGCCCAGGAAATGCTTGATTCATCTTGCATCAAATAGATGGGAACCTCCTGTAGGCTTGAACATTGGTGACTTCTAGCATGCATGCACACACACACACACACACACACACACATCAGTTTCCAGGGTGAGTTAATGAAACCCTCACCTAGAAGTGAGTCATACATCAGATACTCCTGAAGTCTGATCAAGGCTCTTGTTGCTTAGCAGCAGTAATCCTTTCTGAACAGTACAGTACAAGGTCACTCAATAAAGTTTCATTGTTCCTAGTGAGGGAAGCCTGTATTATAAATAACCAATGCAGGCAGATTTCTATTAACAGCAGTTGTTTTTCAGAAGGAATAAAACAAAAGGGACAATGATTCACCTAAGACTAAAAATAGTAACATTAGTTACTGGAACATATTCAGAGAGGTAAAAAAAAAAAGAGAGATAATTTTTTATAAGCTTCATCTTTTGTTGAAATATACTAGGATTGCTAAGTTAAATCAGGATTTTTCTACTGAGCTCCGGTAAACCATTAAGATTCTCAGGAACTGGGGATCCCTGGGCAGCGCAGTGGTTTGGCGCCTGCCTTTGGCCCAGGGCGCGATCCTGGAGACCCGAGATCGAATCCCACATTGGGCTCCTGGTGCATGGAGCCTGCTTCTCCCTCTGCCTGTGTCTCTGCCTCTCTCTCTTTCTCTCTCTGTGACTATCATAAGAAAAAAAAAAAAGATTCTCAGGAACTATAATCTTTGTAAAGCTTATATAAGTAATAAGAATATAAGAGGAGAGTGGGACAAAAATAGATAATAAATGATTTTTTAAAAACAAGTGCATTTTTGATACAAATATATCATTTTAAGATTAGATTGCACTTATATTAAAAACATGTTAAAATTACTGATGTTGAAAAACGATTTAAAAGCAAAAACAGAGAAGACTAATAAAAATAGAGACATCTTATTAGATCATAAAAAACTGAATACCATAAAGATGTGAATCTTCTCAAAATAATTTATAATTTTAATTCAATTTCAGAAAATCATGTCATGCTATTATAGAGTTTTAAAAATTGGCCTTAGAGAATAGACTAGAAATACTAGCCAAAGTAATTTTGTATAAAGTTTAAGAAAGAAGACCTCTCTACTGTGTGTCAAAATGTTCTAAAGAGCACAATTATGAAAAGTGTGTGGTATTGGTGGTGGATATAAAAAAAAAAAAAGCAAATCTAGAGCTGCATCCTAATGTAAATGACCCAATGTACTAAAAAAAAAAAAAACAGCTTTGGAAGTAGTGAGGAAAGGTGGGGACTATTTAGTAAATAGTTGCAGGACAATTTGTCAACTATTTGGAAACACTGTTGGATCTTGAGCCTGTACTTCTTACAAAAGTAAGTCCCAGATGGATCAAGAAGCTAAAAATTAAATAAACTTAAAAGATCACTCTGTATTCCTGTCTCTGGTCAGTTTTTCTTCATAGTATTTATCACTGTTTGACATATATTTGTTTATGACTCTTCGTATTTACTAGATTGTTAGTTCAAAAATCTAGAGGTTTTCCTTTTCTGCCTATTGATGTATCCTCTGCACCTGGGATAATCTGATACATAGGAGAGGATTTATGATATTTGCTGAATAAGTGAATAAAAGCAATAAAAGGAGGCATATATGGAAAGAAATATCCCTTTTTACCTGAACACTTGTAAGCTTGGAGTCATAACCAAATCAAAACAAAATGAAATTAAAAAAAAAAAGGAATAATTGCCCATTACACTATTCTAAGGCCAGCTCAGCCTGGATCCTGTTACTGGTAAGGAAATAATGTCTCTCCCTCCTTCTCTGGATTAAAAGTTGTTGCCCTTTACAAAACCAGCCTGGGTCCCAGATGTGTAACGAACAAAAACTCAAAAGATTATTTCAGAGTAAAATCTGAAGCAGAAATTAGAACCCAGGGATTGTCAGCATTGTTTTGAGGATGACAACAAAATAGGTATCTATTGGACTAGGTATAGGTATGTTTTGGACTATTTAAAAGCATGATGAATGCTTCATACATCAATATTATGCTACTTTCAAGATCCACAGACATTAATTTTTGCTGCTTCTTTTTTTTCTTTTTTAAATAGGCTTTACTCAGATCCACTGAAGAGAAACAGTTTATTTTTATGTTTTCCCCAAATCAGTATTCAGACAGTTTATTTTATTGTAATACTCCCCTCAGCATGGCAGTCTCTTCCACACCAGATTAGTCTTGTCCACTGGTGTCCTCCTTCTCCCACTAGAATGAATGATACTACATTTCCCGAAGGGAGGGCATCATGTTGTACCCACTTCCTTCTTATCTCGTCTCCAGTCTGACCTATTTTTTTTCATCTATGCATGAAAACCCTGCATGGTTCTAAGCACAGACAGCATGAGACACATGTCTAGTTTCTTTAAAGACTTTGCATGATTTGATAAGGCACTTCCCAAGCAGCTGGTAGGTGCTTCAAAATGTTGCAAAAGAAAATGTCATTGCTGCTTTTAAGTCATAAACTTTGACTGGAAAGAGGAGGAAATAAAATTTGACCTACCAAGAGTGGGATCATATTCCCAGATGAAGCGTTTGGTCAGGAATCTCACTACAAGAGCTGTGGAAAAAAAGAGCAACATTTCAAACAAATTTGTTAATTTTCTTATAGTTCTTATCCTTGTATCGAAAGAGAAATAGCTCAGACAACCATAGTGCTTTATATTTCTTGGCACATAAACTCAATGCATTTATTTACTTTTATTCAAGTACTTTTTCAATTTCATATTGTGGCCTAAAAACTTGTATAATGTTTTAATGGTACATTAACAGGTTAGATTTGTTCTTTTAGTTACAGGGTTAAAACAAACAAAAGACAGCACAACGTGAAAATGCTCACATATAAAATTTTTAGCAAAACAATAAATTTGGATGTGTCACAATACAGGTGTCTAAAGTTTGAATATTGATAACAATTAATAGCAGTGAGTTGAAAACACAAAGAATTTTAACTGTAATGAAAAGATCACTAGGTGGTAATTTGCATTTTAAAAAAATAGATAGTTAAGGGGCATTTGGGCAGCTCAGTCAGTTAAGAAGCTTAATTTCTTCTCAGGTCATGATCTCAGGGTCATGAGATTGAGCCCTGCGCAGGGGGAGTCTGCTCGAGATTCTCTTTATTCCTCTCTTTCTGTCCCCTCCACCCCACTTGTGTATGTATGTATGTGTGTGTGTGTATACATGTTCTCTCTCTAAATAAATATTTTTAAAAACCCAGCTATTTAAAATTAAGGATTTTATTAATGACTCATTAAAGCTCATCAAAGATGAAACTGATGAAACAGTACAGTCAGAGGTAGGGTCCTGAACCATGTGAAACACTACTTGCCTGATCTTCTCAACCCTTACTTCATCTCTATGAGGCGGATACTATGATTGTTTCCATTTTTCAAATAAGGAAACCAAGGCTCTGAAAGCTCAACAAATTTCACTGAGTTCACTTAGCTAGTTAGTGGCCAAGTCAGAACTTGAGCAGTGTAGTCTGTTTCCAAAGCCTGTTATTTATCCATTATTCTGAACTTAATTTAAGGCCTGGGCCAAAAAGATAATACTTGACTAGAACCTGGTGACAGAAGGAGAATTGGTAAAACGTGTCGGCTCCACTGTCCTTAAAAACTGGTAGGACATGGGGCACCTGGGTGGCTGAGGGGTTAAGGGTCTGCCTTTGGCTCAGCTCGTGATCCCAGGGTCTTGGGAACAAGCCCCACAGTCGGGCTCCCTGCTCAGCAGGGAGTCTGCTTCTCTCTCCCCCACTCCCCCTGCTGTGTGCTCTCTCTCTCTCTCTCTCTCTCTGTCAAATAAATAAATACAATCTTAAGAAAAGAAAACCAACAACCAATGGGACACATGCTCAACATTTTCCTGTAGGTGTATTGAAAACAGCAGCTTTTAATCTTTAAAATATTTTTTTTGGAAAAGGGTGTCACAGACACTTTTAAAATGGAATGAGAGCTTGGAATCTGTTCCCTGGTGAAGTGCATATTATGTGCATTTTGGCAAACAATTTCAGCAGGCTAATGAGCCCTCTGAAGACCTTCTGTGGTCTTCCTGGGATCCCATTGATCCTCACTAAAGAATGTCTATCACATTTTATAGTTTAAAAATATCTATTATTAGAGTTTGTTTTTTTTTTTTTATTTTTACCAAAAGGCCCTGGATGTAGGAGTCTAAGGATACTCCTGGAAGAAACAGAACTAGTTATTTGGAGATTACTGTTAGTTTCTCTTTGTTGCCCCTGCAGGATCAGCAGAAGTGTATCGTCCCTATCATAGTGTCTTATGTGAGAGATCACAGTGCAAATTGCAATGAGAACCTCATAAAACAGACCACAAACATATGTGGCTTGGCTGGAGACTGAGAGTAGCAATGTTCTTTCTAATTACAGAGTGTGAGTCTGAATTTAAGCCAAAATATTTGCAGTGCCTAAAGTAGCAAGGCCACTGACCCTATAATACTTCCCACAGTGAGTGTACTTGTGGTTTTATCTGCAATTTTCAGTCTGTCACTGTTCACTCTCTTGAGAATCCTTTTTTTTTTTTTTTTTTTTTTGGTGTGTAAGACGCAGTAAGCAGTAGACAGATATTTTTCTGTTTTTAAATTAGCATGTTAGGAAACATAACTAACTGCCTATAGTATCCATAGTTCACCTTTTGTTAGAATATGTAGTTTTAACTCTAAAAGTTTCAACTGGAAAAATACATTGATCAGACGTCTTTAAGCAATAAAATAGTAAAATTAAAGTCTTACATAACTGAAGTTTGAACTTCCCCAATTCTAAGACCATTTAAACTTCAATTATTTCTTCAAGAAATCTTTCTAAAATGTATTTGAGACTCCATTGCCTTTCAAAACTGAGTATATTGAACATAAGCAAATCATTTAAAAATGCCTAGATCTTAGTTAACAACCTGGATTAGTACCCTATGCAGTTACACAGTAATACTTTCAGAATCCATAGAATGGTTGAAGCAACACAACTCTAGAATGCTAGGGCTTTAAATCATTTTAGTTTTTAAGTATATATATTCATATGTACATAGCCTTTTTTCCTCCCTCAAATACCATGGCTTTCTCTCTTTTTTAAAAGATTTTTTAAAAAATTATTTATTTGAGAGAGAGAGAGAGAGAGAGAGAGAAAGGGAGAGAGAGTACAAGTGCATGAGAGGGGGGAGTGGCAGAGAGAGAGGGAGAAACAGGCTCCCTACTCAGTGGAACTCGATGTGGAACTCGATCCCAAGACCCTGAGATCACGACCTGAGCCAAAGGCTGGCACTTTACTGACTGAGCCATTCAGGTGCCCCTGGCTTTCTCTTTTTGCCACAGTCACTGAGACCAACTCCAAATCCATCTGTATGCTTCCTTTGTTACTTTTATTATTCCCAAGACTGATAAACCATATTAACAAGCTTGTTAGAATTTTTCTCACATTAGAGTAAATTATCTCTGTGGTTGGATTCTAAGGAAGCCGTTCTATGAATATAAACAGGATTCTGGTGACCTTTGAGATGTCATGTTTGTCATTGAGAAGCTGAGTTATTGGTTCAGTTGCAGAAAGCCACCTTCCAATGGGGAGCGTTGCTAGGCTTTATCATTGAAATCAATCTAAACATTTCTAATATTGTTAAGAGACACACATTATTATTTGATGGCCATTTTAACAATAGTATCATACTTTTAAAATTCATTCTATTTTTTTTATTGGAGTTCAATTTGCCAACATATAGCATAACACCCAGTGCTCATCCCATCAAGTGCCCCCCTCAGTGCCCGTCACCCAGTCACCCCCACTCCCTGCCCACCTCCCTTTCCACCACCCCTTGTTTGTTTGCCAGAGTTAGTTTTTTATTTTAAAAGATTGATTTATTTACTTGAGAGAGAGACAGAGAGACAGAGGGAGAGTAGAGGAAGACAAGCAGATTCCCACTGAGTGGGGAGCCCAATGCAGGACTCGATCCCATGACCTTGAGATCATGACCTGAACTGGAGTCAGGAGTCAGATGCTTAACTAACTGAGCCACCCAGGCGTCCCCAATTCAGCAAAAAACATCCAAACCACATTGAAGAATTGACATGCCTTATGTTTATTCTTGAAGGACATGTTTTTATTTCTCTCACACACAGATTATTCAATGGAAAAGACAAGCACTTGTCTATATTTTTAAGCTTTCAAAAGTATTTTAATTGAAAATTATTAGTCTCAAGAATGAAATAACTTTACATCCATGGAAGGGACTTCTGTTAAAGGCTCTATTATTTACATTGTGTCTGAGGTACTTTTGTGACATTCACCATTTACCGACGGAATCATAGAACTTCAATATTATTTACCCACAAATTTGATTATAATTTTATTTAGGAAATATGACTTTCACATGGGATATGTCTTGCCATGTCTCACCTCCTCCACCACTACCACTCTCATCACGTGGTTTCACCTGTTAATGATAATACAATTGCTTCCTCAGTAGTGTTCATCCTTCAGCTGCACCCCCAGAACTCCCTCAAACTATTCTCCACAAAGCAGTCAATGCTTCTGTTAAATCATCGCATGCCACATCTTTTCCCCAAATGCTCCCTGACTTTATCTCATCGGATAAATATATATTGAGTGCCTACTCTATCAGATTCTATTTTAGGACTTTAGAATAATCCAGTAAATAAGTGAGGTAATTTCCTGCCACTCCCCCAGTCATGCATTCCGTAAATCTACTACTACTAATAGTACTGTTAATATCACTACCACCACTACTACTAATAATAGTAATAATAAAAAAACTGAAAAGCTATTTTATTGTTATTATTATTTTACTTGATTTTTTCTTTAGAATCTGTATTCCTGAGGGCATTTAATTGGTTTATCACTGTTTTCTAGTATCTGGAACATTGTCTGGCACACAGTAGACTGCAAAACACTTGTTGAATAGATGAAAAAGATACATCAATCCTTGTTACAGCTCACTCTTCTTAGCAGTTAGATAACAACCAGGGGTTGAGAGAAGAAGCAGAAAAAACAAAGCAAGAGAGTTCACAACAAAACCATGCCATGTTTCCATAACTTTTTCTTGAAAGGTTATATAAATATATAATCTGCAATGCCTTCTAATGGGTACTTCATAATCCTCCTACAAATTATACTTCTGTAGTTTTTTAAATGATTAATACAAAATTGATTTAATTTTCTTTTGAATACCTTTTCCTCTTTATCCCAACTAGGCCGAGCAAAAGTCTTGATGTAAAATGGTGGTATGGATAATCTTTACGTTTGCTAGCAATCTGATATAAGATCTTGTTTTCCCTGAAGTTTTGAGGTTTGACATATTTAATTGGTTGCAGGTAAGTTTTTGCATTCTGAAATATCTTATTTTCTTCCCTTTGCCTTGAAAACCTACCTTTCCACTAAATAAGCCAAACTTGTCTAAAAGTTAATCTAGAGAAGAATATTTTGCTTAATGTATTACCTACTTGAATAACTCTGCATTATATGTGGTTTATTTTTATATTACTATAACTGAATTTCATGATTATCTATGAAAGCTGGCTTCTAGCAAAATGGAAAATTCA